ATCCGCATACTTGGGTTCCGCATACGCAAGAATGTTGTACAATTGTTCCTTGAAATCCATGAAATCTTGTGCATCGGTTTTACCTCCACCGAATGAAGGCGGTCTACCCAACTTGCGGAGGAGGGACTGGGACGAAAGCTAGAAGCGTTAACAACCGAGGCTTTTCCAGTGAAGGCAAGCATGCATACACGCCTACTGAACTCCAAATACAGAAACCCTAACTCTTGAACCCCTCGAATGAGCACCAATACCATCCCCCTCAATGTGGGTGACACCCACCGGGCCAAGCCATGCTCTGCTTGCGCTTCTTGTTCGTCGAGATGCAGCTGCTATTACATATGACTGTGTATTCGAGTACTAGTATAGTATGAAATTATGAAATGGTATAAAAACAGTATATGGAAGAGGTTGGATCAGAGCTTCATGCACACACATATATATATATGTACATATACCATAACTTACTCCCCCAATAGCCACAGAAATAAAAGGTTAAACTTTCAAACTACTGCTAAACTATAAGAACCCCAAAAGTTTAAACGTTTTGTATTGGAGAACTAAGATAAATACATGTTATATATGCCTAGAAGCCAATGGCTTCAGGTCGGGCGCCCAACATAGAACAAGTACGCGACACGTGAGCGGAGCCAGCAAGCCACATTGTGAACATCACTGGGGGCCTCTTGGATCCCAATCCGAGCCAACAAGCGCGGAAATAGTAAAAAACAGTATATGGAAGAGGTTGGATCAGAGCTTCATGCACACGTATATATATATATATGTATATATATATATGTACATATACACAAACATACCATAAATACATGTGTATATCATGCCTAGAAGCCAATGGCTTCAGGTCGGGTGCCCAACATAGAACAGCGGAAATGGTAGAAACACAGTATATGGAAGAGGTTGGATCAGAGCTTCATGCACACGTATATATATATATATATATATGTATATATGTACATATACACAAACATACCATAAATACATGTGTATATCATGCTTAGAAGCCAATGGCTTCAGGTCGGGTGCCCAACATAGAACAAGTAGGCGACGCGTGAGCATCATGAGCTGCAAGCATCATAAGCATCGGAGCCAGTAAGCGCACATCGCGAACATCATTGGAGCTCAATCCGAGCCACAAGCCCGCATCACGAGCATCATTGGGAGCTTCTTGGGGCCAACAAACGCGCATCATGAGCATCATCGGGGAGCCGTTTTTCCACTCGGAAGCGGTCCGAAGCACCACATTCAAACACCCCAAAACGGACCCGGCGGGGCAACGCCGAAAACCAGCACCAGGTGGGGGATAGCCCCGAATACGCGCAAAAAATGCCCACCTGGCCGGGGACCCTTCCCCACACCCCTAGATGCAACCTTTCGGTTGGTAAGGAACTCAGCTAGCCACGGAGGCAAGCTTTCGTGACATCTTCACTGCACCTTCTAATGCCTTGGAAAGTATACCTTCATACGAGCTTCCTGAATTACCTTGATTTCCAGTATAGGTAACTAGCTGATTGATGGCTTCAGTGGTCACTCTGGAATTCTGAACTAATTGTCCAAGTATATCTTGAGTAGGTACCATACCTAATCCATCTCCGTCTCCACCATCTTGTACTGGTACTCCGGCAGCCGATGAAGGCTGTCCTCCTTGCATAGCTTCCGTCCTGACAAGCAAACAGGTAAGTACCATGGCTCTGACTTTCCGCTTGAATCCACTCACTTTACGTCTCCAGCGAATACTGTGCATCCGATTCACTTTCCTTCGCATACAAGTGCACGTGACTCCTTTTTGCATTCTTCCTGCGAGAAGAGTTGATCCGAATACGCAGCTCCACAAGAGCTGAAGGACTAGTGATACAACTATGCAACCTAGGGTTGCCAGTACAGCTTTTGCTGTTGGTCGCTCAAGCGCCAGGCTACAGATCTTCTTTGTCGATGTCTGCAGCCGACTGTCCAGCTGGGTCGTTTTGAATCTTTCCTTCGCGTCCTTCTCGTCGAGCTCAGACGAATCTGGGTCCACGCGTTCAGAACTTTCACTCGCTTCTGAATCCGCATCCGACATTCTGTCGTCACTTCCCGCTTCGTCCGGTCCTGGGCGGGTTCTGGCTCCTCCGGAACTGCCTCCTTAGCAGTCTTTGCCTCCTTGGCATCCTTTGCTCTTTCTGAGAGCTCCTTTGCCACTTCATCCATGATTTTCTGGGCTTCTCTTGAGGCAAGAGTTTGGCGCAATTTCTCCTTCTGGTGTTCTTCCATCTTACTGCGAAGTTCTTCTCGACTTGGCGTTGTAGTAGTGGGTTCTTCCTCATTTCCAACCAAGTCCACCACGCTCTCGTTCTTCGAATTCTCCTTGGCAGTCCAGATTTCCGGCTTAGACTTTTCCGGCTCAGCTTTCTTCTTTGTACTCGCGGCCTTACCTGCTTCCCTTCTCCGCGTGTCAACTTCTTCCGGGGATAGCAGAGGGTAGTCTCCATCCTCCTTAGCTTTTCCTCGGTGCTTCTCGTTGGCCTTCGAGATTTCCTTGGACATACTCCCGTAGTCGCAAAGTGCGAGCATCGGGAAGTACTTCCGGCAGGGGTTAATCCCCGTTTCATCACCTCGATATCCTGGTCGCGATATTCCTCGCATCGGATACAGTCGCCGCGTCTTGTTTCCACGATCCAACACGGTGAGCATGGGTTCGTACATGCAAAATTGGAGTGAGCTGAACTTGCACCCTTTCTTCCAATGTCCTCCATGCCAACACAAAGAGCACAAACTTTTTCCTGGGGGTAGCGATCCATTGATTGTTCTTCCCCGCGAAGTTTCCGTTGGCTCAATATCCAGTCTTCCTTTACCGGCTGGGTGCATGGACCAAGGTTCGATACTTCTTCCAGCTCCTTTGCATTCTCTCCGGCTGGGAATGAGAAGTACAGAGTACACTTCCAGCTGCTGGTTGATTTCCTCGAAATCCTGTTCTCCAGACAGTTGCCATGGAAATCCATAGAGAGGTTGTGCTTCTCCATTTCTATCACCAAGCCACGCATCGCCAGAGTCTGCTGCAAGAGCTTTGCCACTTCATGCGTCCACTCCTTGGTGAACGGCGGCTTGCTTCCTGGGAGGAATTCTTCTCCTTCACGCAACTGCTGTCGCGTTTCAGGCCAGTCCTCCTCGTAGATCCGCTCAGTCCATTCCTTTCCAGGAGTTTCCTCTTGCTTCTTACCTTTTCCGGATCTTCTTTTCTCCCGAATCCTTTTCTCTCTGTCTTCCTTAGTACTCTTGGATCCGTCGTCTCCGGCAGCTTTGGCATCTTCTTGGGCATAGGCATTGCCTTGACGGCTGGTTCCTGTACCATGGTCGTGCTTTCATATATGCCCAACAGGCATCTTTCCAAAGCCTTTTCTTCGCCATACCGGATTGCCGCTTTGATCGTCTTTCCCATTTCGGACTGTAAGCGTTCCGAATGCAGCAAAAATGCATGCTGTGCTTTCTCAAGGGATTTACATTTACATTGCCCAAGCCATTCTTTTTCCGCGATCCGTGCGCTTTCCACTTGTTCGTTCTTCCTGGAGCGCAATCGATCCACAACTTCTCGAGCTTTGGCACGGTACCATTCTTCCGCTGGGTCCACAGATTCCACAGGTACCTTGATCTTACTCTGTTGGCGATTGGCATCCTGAAGTTCTTTGGCTCTCCGTTCGGCTTCTTCCACGGCTCTGATACGCTTTGCTTCATCCTCAAGTTCTTGTTGCTTCTGCTTCGACTCAGCCTCCAAGGTCCGCTTCCGTTCTTCCAGCTCTTCAAGCTTTCTCTTCCGAGACTCTGCTTCGGATCTCTTCTCCTCTTCTTCCTTGAGAGCTTCAAGATGCTCTGTCTCCAGGTCATTTCCTGGGGGATCGTAGGTAGATCTGGGCTTGAAGTGCCAATTGTTCTGCAACATCTGGCTGTAGATACTACGGAAGGGGGGCTGATACTTCCTGTCAAGAGTGAACCGCTTATACTCTTTCTCAAGCAACATAACATTCTCAATCGTTCTTGCCACTTCCATCGCTTCATCCAATTTACGTCGAACACCTTCAGGACTTGTTGCTTCTTCCAGCTTCCTCTTCTCCTTCTCGGCCTTTCTACTTCTCTTAGCCTCTTTCCGGGCAGTCTTCTTTTCCTTCTTCTTTTCTTCTCGGGACTTGACTTTTCCAGTTGATGCCGGGGTCCTTGCAGGAGTTCCTTTGTCGGTACTGGGGGCAGCTTTTTCCTCAGGCTGACTCTTTGCTGGGGTCTGAGAGTTGCTTTGCTCCACACGTGCAGTTCTTCTGCTCTGTGCGCTTCGCTGCTATGTCCTCCAGTTCAGAAACTCTTCCTGCCATCGTATCCGATTGCGTTGGGTCCGTTGGGCCTTCAGTTGGCCTTCCAACCGGTGGCAGAGAGAGAATCTCTGTGTACCGGGTATTCTTTGGTACTTCTTCTTCCGCCATCCTGGAAGCAAATGTTCCCATACACAGGTTTCCTTATCCTCTTCGAGGGGATACAGCTGCGGTTGGATAGCAAGGTGAGACATGTTCATACACAGGCAACTCGTTTCCTGCATGCTTCCTTGGCTCAGCGAGATACTCATACAGAATCCAAACATAATTCGCAAGAGGTCCTTGTACAGCTTCTCCGTGATCACCGTCATGGCGAATCCAAAGTCTCTACTGTCCAGTTTCCAGGTATCCTCGAATACTTCTTTCGGTTCCAATCCGAATTTCCAGGGTTTCCTTCGGCCCACGGGTTTCCTGGATCTTGAAGCTCTCTCGCTCCGCTACCAAGTTAAACTGTAAGACCCTGAGCGTTCACGCTTTTCCTGCTTAAGCCAAAGGTGCTGCATAGTCATTCTATACATTTCATATGCCGTAGCCTAGGCTCACCAAAGGTGTGGGCGTTCTATGTACAAAAGTTAACAGTTAACAGTATGCCTCCGTGCGGCTCACCAGCCCGGATCGCCTAGCGCGATCATCGCCGCTTTGCCGCTGTACATGCTCATTTATCTTGGCAACCCATCCCCTGCCCTTTTGCGTGTCATCAGCAAGGACTACAAGGCCAAAGCCATGATGCACGGCGACATATGGTGGCCCGCAACGAAAGCGCCAGGTATCTGCACGTGCGTCTGGAGTTCGTCAAGGACCGGGTCGGAGTGCACCAAGCAATGCCAGCCCTCATCATCTCCTGGCAGTGAGGATACGTGGCTTGTCCCCAAAACCTGAACTACAAGTCGGCCCTCATAGAATTGAAAGTGAAGAGCCTGCTCACGAAAGAGATGGCGGTGGATAACCGCCTGTCGCAGCGTCATGCACTGCGGGCGGGTCCACAGAATACTGTGGCCCCGCGTTTGTACCGGAAAAGATGCGCGCGGCCCACACATCCACTGATGCTGTGGATCTTCCATCATGGCGTCATCGGACGCTTCCATAAAATGCAAGACGGGGAACAGGAGGGGCAGAGGCAACGGAGGAGGGGAGGGGGGAGGGAGAGAAGGCACAAGGACTCGCCTAAGGGGTGGCGTCAAAACGAGTCAGAGCAAACCCTTGCTGAGACGGCGGCAGAGCACGATTTCCATTTCACGTACAGTGGCTGGCGCACCAGGTGAAAAACAACGAACGTGTCAGCCGGCGTGCATTGTCAGTCTAGCTGCAAAAAAAGAAGCCATGAAGCAACAGACAAAGCAAAAGAAGGAAACAACCCAACCAACATGTGTGAAAAAATTCATGCAAAGTTTTTTTTTGGCGTGGGCGGGCCTCGTCGACTACGGCTGTAGCACTCGGTCCCTACAAACAAGACAAACCAACAAACGAACAAAAACAGCGGTGAAACAGGGCGGCTCGATAAAAAGAGGCAAAGAGCTAGCTGCGGCGCACAGGCTTTGCCGGTGTTGGCCGTTCAGCACGAGCTACGGGGCCTCAGCGACCGATCCACAACAGCAAAAGGCCGTCGCCTAGAGCTGTCCAAGACCACCGGTGGAGCCCAAGGTCGGAGCTCCGGCCGCCGTTCTAGTTCCGTCGAACAACGGTCAGCCCCGGGGTCCTGTTGTGTCGCGATCGTGCACACAAAGTCCAGCCCCCCTTCTAGAACTCGTGCGCATTTCCCCAGTCTTGTCAGAATGACCTGCAATTCCTTGAGGTACGGGTTAAGGTGGAAGTGCCTGCCTCCCTTGTGGGGCGGCCCCAAATCGCTATTGCCGCACGGATGATGGAAGGCCCCGCAGAAAGTCGCCACGGCCCTGGAAGTGCTTGGCTTAGGGGGTTCCCGAGTGGTCTTCCGCTCGCCTTCCAACCCGGCCAAGTGCTGGAAGCTCTCCAAAAGGTCGCAGGAGGCGGAGCGTGACCTTTTCAAGGTCACCGGTCCCTGGACCCCGCGGCACACCAGGGCTTTGGGTGTACACCGAGTTGTCGAGGAGGGCAAGGGTGGCACCTCCTTCTTCGCGTCTCTTTTGGAGACGGAACTTGTGGATCCTCTTCCCATGGTCAATCCGCCGCTGATCTTCCAGATCTGCCTGACGGTGTGCCAAGCGGCGAACCTCGCAAACGTCGGTGACCTAGGACGGAAAAACATGGGCAGCAGGTCAATGCCTCAGGGCATGGGCGACCCGCCCAGATACGAAGTCCTGCTGCTGGACGCCAACGACTGGGAGGAGTATGGTTCGCAAACCACCCCCCACTGGCCAAACAAGCGTCGGGCCCAGGGACTTTGGTCCACTGTGAGCTCCTTCTCGGCAGAGCTGCTGGAGCCGTTGCAGCAACTGGTGAAGCAGTAGCAAGCCGATCCGGAAGGCCACATCTGCCAATATGTGCTGAAGCAGGGTGGGAACAATTCCAGCAGGGTAAGCTCCGAAAGGCCAGAACCTGACCAGGAGCTAGGGGCGCAGGGCACCCAAGACTGAGTACCCACGGGGAAAGGTCTCTGGGGCCCTGCCACGCCCCAGCTCCCCGCCTTGGGCTTCCCAGGCGCAACCAGCTGAGTATTTTGGGAGAAAGGCTTGGTGGCAGTGCTGTAACCAGCGAAGTACCCAAGGGGAAAGCTTGGTGGCACCCACCGTAGAACCAGCCGAGTACCTACGGGACAGCTCCAAGAGAGCTAGGGCCCTTTTTGCCCCAAGATAAGGAGGCGTGGGAAACCCCATGCCACTCGTAGGCCTAGGCTCGACCCGTCTCACCCCAAACTTTGGCCTCTGGCCGCACAGCTCGCGCTCTCGAGAAGAAAATCCCATTTCCCATTTTGCATATGGCGCTACCCCCTTGGTTTTGCGGGACAGTCCGCCTACGAGAAAACACAAGGTTGGGTTGAGGCCTCTTCGGAGCCCACACCTAGGTACGGCCTCAAAGAGCCTCGCCACGACGGCAACGAACCACACTTGAGCAAGAGCAGCTTGAGCCAAAAATGGGATTTTCTCTCCGAGCGTCGCAATGTCCACGCGGCTCCTAGGCCTAACTGTACTAGTTACTAGTTGCTTTCTTGTACAGTTAGGCCTAGGAGCCGCGTGGACATTGCGAAGAGGCCTCAACCCAACCTTGTGTTTTCTCGTAGGCGGGCTGTCCCGCAAAACCAAGGGGGTAGCGCCATAGGCAACCAGTCGTCAGACTTGGTGCTCTTTGGCTGGTGTTACCAGCTTACTGGTTTAACCAGTTGGCTTTCCTGCCAGCTTCTAGGCACCTGGGGTCTCCAGGTTGCGAGTACTTCAGGACCATGCCAAAGCACCACACGGAATGTGTCCAATGTGGAGTCGGCTGGGTGTGGAAATCGGAAAAGGCCTGGTACCCATGCTGTTGGCATTGTGGTGCTGCCTGGCCAGGACCCTATACACCACCGAGCCAGCCACAGAGGTCACAGAGTCCCGCGCGCAACAGCCAAGAGGACTGGAACAAGTGGCAAGCCTGGGCTCACCAGGACATGCAGAAAGCGCAAAGCTGGTGGGAACCAGCGTGGCAGCCGACGCGCAAGCCGAAGAAGCAGGTGGACTATCCGCCAGGACTGGGATGGACCGGTGCTCAGATGACTCCCCAGGAGTACGAGGATGCCGTTGCCAGTCTTTGGCAGGATGCAGATCCGCAAGCTCAGAAGGTTCTTCGTGCGTGTGGCATTGAGCCACCGGAAGAGGACAGGAGTGATGACCCAAGGGTCACGCTGCAGAAGTACCTTTCGGCGTACAAGTCGATCACCCAGGAGCACAGAAACCTGGTGGAGCGCAAAGTGAGGCTGCAAGCGAGAGCTGACAAGATCAAAGGCCAGTTCGAAAAAGCCCTCAAAGAATTGGCAGACGTTTCCAAGGCCATCGAGAAGGCGGAGGACAGCCTGGGGAAGGTGCAGAACCAGGTGCAGGAGCAACTCAAGAATGCCGAGCCGCCGGAAGCCAAGGAAGTGCATGATCTCCAGGGCCTTCTGAAGGTTGCGGGGGTCGAGCTATCTGCCACACAGGAAGAGGCCTTGTCGGCTTACTTGCAAACGAGGAAGGAGGAGAGGGAGCTGGACACGGACGAGGAAGATGGTGAGGATCCGCTAGGAAACCTTGGGTCCTTTGTTCCCTTGACCTCAAATTCTTTAACACTAACTCTGGATCCCCTTGGGCGGCACGGAAGTTTGGACCCATGAAGCCCAGAAGGGTTCGCAGCAACCCACTTTCCCGCAATGAAGGGGAAAAAGAGAAGGATTGAGGCATGGGGCAGGGAGCCCTGCTAGGTTGGTGGGTGCCATGGTGCCTTCCTGGTTGGGTTCCCCAATCAAGCCCGCTCCCGCTACCATGGAAAATTTTGCATCACAAGAGCCAGAGCCCCACGACCATTTTGGTTGAAGTGGGATCCTTTTTAACCAAGCAGCAGCTGGTGCCACCCAGCGAGGAGGTACACCAGCAGCGGCAGTTTTGTGAGTTGTGCTGTCAGCCCACAGACAGGCTGATGCAAACCAGCGAAGACTGGTGTGCTGCACTTTGGGTGGCGGAGAAACATATTCTCCAAAACGTGCAGCCCATGGTCTGCTCGCCAATTTTGGAAGCCTATGCAAAAAAGGCGTACCACCTGAGGCAGAAACCGTTTGGGTGGTGCTGCGAGTCATGCTCAACATCGGTGTGGCAACAGTCGGCAGCGTTGAGGAACACAGGGAAAGGCAGTGGAGATTCCATCCCTGGGGTTTGGCCAAGATTGGGAGAGGTGGTCCTTTCGGAGGCCCGGTACTTCCCTGTGGATTTTGAGGATGATGGTGAGGGCACAGAGCTGGTGGCGGCCTTGCCACCTGAACCCTCCCCACCTGGTGCAAACCAGTCCAGCCCAACAACTTGGCACTGGCAAAGTCCTCTCTCGGAGGGAGCCAAGGACACTCAAGCCAACAAAGGCCCACCTGGTGAGCCGACCAGGAAAGATTGGAGCCAGTCTCCTGGTAGAGGAGCCTCAGTTCTGCATGCAGGCGAAGGAGGCTGCTATTTTGGAGTGGGTTGAAAAGACTGAGCACAGTCTGATCCCGGGAACTTTGGCGCACTGGGTGGTTTTCAGGATGGTTGAGTGTTTGGAAACGAGGGAGGAGGATACGATTGGAATTCTGGCAGGTATTGAGGACCTCAAGATGCAAGCTGAACACAAGCCCAACAGAGGAGTGTGCACCATCTTGCAGGCAAATGTCACTCAGTACAGGTCAGAGATCCGCCAGTGGCTGGTATCAAACCAGTGTCACGTTGCCTGTCTTCAAGAAACGCACATTGACAAAGGGCAGCAGGAAGGCCTAGTCTCGGGCCACTTGCTGTTGGTAACGTGTACCTAGAGTCCGGAAAAGGACCAGGTGGAGGGGTAAACCCCCAAATCCTAGCCGAGCTGGCCCTTTCGTACAGGAACTCCGCATTCCCTGGATCATAACAGGAGACTGGAATGCATCACCTGAAGACTCGTCTCGGCAGGTGTGTTGACGATGCTCAAAGGAAAACTGGTGAAACCAGCCGAAGAGACAACGACGCAAGGGTCTGAAATAGACTACGCAATTGCCTCTGCAGCGATTGCCAGCTGTGTCCAGGCGGAGGTTAATTGGGAGGTCCCTTTCAAACCCCATGCAGCGATCAGGTACACCATCCACAAAGGAGGCGTCAGCAAGCGCCCAGGTTCACACCGGAACCTGGTGAAAACCAGGAGCACCAGAGCTTCAAGAGATCCACCAGTCACAGCCCTGTTTGAGGACCCGCCCTAGTAGCCACCCCGACCAGGTGAAATGGGGGACACTCGTCCACAAGCTTGAAGCTCAGTTGGGCATGGACCAACATGGCAGAGGCTGGTGTTTCCCAGTCAAACGGGAACCTTTAGTGCACAACACGTCCCCCCAAAAGCCGTG